CTGTTTAAACCGAAATTTATATACAAAAGACGTACGGGTCATGTCAATATATATGGTAGTGGCTTATTGTGTCCATGGATGACATATGGTTGATTGGTCCACATGGTAATGGCCATTGGTCAACATGGTAGTTGCTTATGGTGTCCATGGGTGACATATGAGTCATTGGTCAACATGGTAGTTGCCTAAGGTGTCCATGGTTGACATATGGATGACATATGGGCCATTGGTCAACATGGTAGTTGCTTATGGTGTCCATGGTTGACATATGGATGACATATGGGCCATTGGTCAACATGGTTGTTGCTTATGGTGTCCATGGTTGACATACGGATGACATATGTTCCATTGGTCAACATGGTAGTTGATTATGGTGTCCATGGTTGACAAATGGATGACATATGGGCCATTGGTCAACATGGTTGTTGCTTATGGTGTCCATGGTTGACATATGGGCCATTGGAATGATGTTTGAATGATGTTTAAATAATGTTAGAAATTTGAACAATGTATTTTGGACTTTTAATATTAGTGTTTATATTGTATTGTGATTATAGTTGTATGTAGCAAATGTTTGTTCTTTCCTAGTATTAAATACATATAAAATACATTTGTAAAGGCATAAACAAACATGTATTTAATTTTGGACTTGGTAATTTGGTTTAATATCAACTAGTGGAGTACCCATGCTTTTCATACGGTAAAATTGTAAAGGAATAAACATATGGACTAAAAGTGGCAACAAAGAAAAAGTATTGTGGCTGAAATCAAAGTAAAAAAGGTTACTATAAAGATAGGGACTAAAAGTGGCAAGAAAAGAAAAGTATTGTGTCTAAAATCTAATGTAAATAAGTTTAATATTAAAATCTTTTTCCACTTTTAATATGTATATTAGTACATGAGTATATACTAGTAATTTGGTGAAATGTTAATATAAATGTATTACATTATGGATTATGATATATATGTTATTTTTGTCTTTTTCATTTTAACAATCAAAATTCCAATATTACCTAGCTATAAAAGGCTATAATATTTGAATATGTGTTTTGAAACAAATACCCTTAGTATTCAGATATTTGGAATGATTTCAGGGGCAATTTGGTCTTTTTCCACTCTAAATTGTTAAGGCGCCATCATACATCTGACGTCACGGCGGCGTTCCAGTTCTTCAACCATTCATAACATCTCAACTTTTCCGGACGATAAATTTGTATACAAACACTAAAACCCCCAAATCGTCTTAGAATAATCGTTCTCAAAAACGATTTTCTCCGATAATAGAGACTTCTATACTCCCCTCGACCAAATCAGCATAAAGTAAGTTTTTTCCATACCCTGTTACACTGTCTTTCATATTTAGGCTTAATTTAAAAAAAATTAAAATCAACTACTCCAATGTGTATTTTGTAAGTAGAATGTCGAATACTAGAAGTCGCCTTTCGTTAGATGATCTCCCACTGGAGCTTTTGAGTCGGATATTTGTAGTATTAGGGTCAGAATCTGCGAAAGACATCGTCTCTGCAAAACTTTGGTAATTATCAATAAACATCAACTAATGAATGTATATTTGATGAAATAAAACTTTATTTGTTTGTTATTTACTGTGTATTTAAATTTTTGAAGTTCAAAGAAGATGTATGAAGCAGGGGGTGATCCTCAAGTGTACAAAACAACATGCATTGACATGTTTGAAGGAATGGGTCCCAAAACTCTGAAAGCTGATTCATTTATACGCACATGTGCATTACATAATAACATTGAAGCCATGTATAGACAAGGAATTATATGTGTAATTTCAGTAATTATATGTAATCTAAATATACCATTTATTAATATTTTGTGTCATAGATGTAATATATTGATATTGTTATTCTGTCAACAGGATGAGTGCTTTTATTATGGCAATTTTGATTTAGGATTGACTTTGTTGAGAAAAGCAGCAGATGAAGATCATCTTGAGGCAATATATTTGCTTGGAATGATCCACATTTCAAGAGGGTCTCATCAATGTGATGAAGGTATGTATATATGGTATATATGTAAATTAAATTATATATATAGTTAATTAAGGTATGTTTGTAGTTTGGGGGTTAGTATTTAGTTGTGTTGTGTTGTATAATATTTACTATTTTATTGAAAAGGTTACATTGGATTAATTGATGGATATTTTAATGTGTAGGTTTACAATTACTTGATGCCTATTTTGGCTGGGCAGTTCCGGATGATGGGCAGTACACGAGTGTTGTTAATAGTGCCAAATAGTTGTTGCGGGCTATTGATATTGTTCATAAACTTACAACGAATAACATCACATTCCAATGTCAAGCCCACGTCATTCTGTTAAAGGTGCATTGGCAATAGGCCATGAAGAGGATGAGGATCGACAAAGATATTGCACGGTTTGTCGTTGGTATGTAGAGTATGGTAGGTTTTGTATATTTCTTAAAAATATTAATGGTTGATAATAGAATGAAAATTGAATATTAGTGTTCTTATTGTATTATATATGAAGTTGTATAGTACTACTATAATTTTATTTTTGTTCTGTTAAAAGGGCATTTTAGTCATTTTTGCTTGCTATGTTGTTTGAGTAGGATGAAGTATTTGTAAAACCCGTGTTATTTTTGTGATGAAGTATAGTTAATGTAATTAAAAATAAGTTTGTAATGAATTCGTTATTAAGGAAAATAATCTACATAGATTATATATACTTTAACATGTCCGGTTAATGTAATTAAAAATAACTTTGTAATGAATTCGTTGTTAATTATTCATTATAATACTATGTTTTCAATAAATTATACACAACTTGATTAGCACAACTGGCTTAACCGCGCCCTTTTCTAGCATAAGCTTAAGTTCGAGTCTGCTTACCAGCAATATCTATTCATTTTTACATTTTTTAGCCATTAGTTTATGCCACATATTACCAATTCAAAAATATTTCATTCAAACCATATCTTACAAACTCCAATGATCATAATAATAATTCATCCATAGTATAACAAAATTAATTAAGCATACAACATCCCAACAATTGCCGTCACAAATTAGCTACGCGTTTTGTTCCATAGCAAAATAAGCAAACGAAATCATATTCCATAGCAGAATTTCCTAGCAAATACCTACGAATGGTACTTCCATAGCAATTCAACTATGGAATTGGTTTCCGTCACAAACTCTGTTGCATATTAACCACGATGATGAATTCCATAGCAGTAGTACAACGGAAAGTGATTTGGTAACAAATGTCGTTGGAAAATTGCTACGAATTTATTTTTGTTCCATAGAACTATCGGTAGCATAATACCAACGGATATGGAGTCGGTAGCATTTTCCCTAGCAACTCCCACTCTCGCTACCAGAAATAAAATCCGTAGACAATGTGGTAGCAACATTGCTATGGAACGACATTCCATAGCACGATCCCTTGCAGATTAGTAACGAAAATACGTTCCATAGCAACCTTCCCTAGCAAAATCGCGTTTTTCTTGTAGTGCTTAAACATGGAAATTTGAAAGTGATGAAATTTCTTCCGGAGGTAATCTCAATGTTCCAAATCAACAACACTAGCAAAACATTTACTACTTAAATTCATCTCGTTCTTCACTTCCTCTACATCTCCAACTTTTGTTTTTTTTTTTGAAATAAAAACACATGGTTAGATAGATAGAGAAAAAAACCTTGGTCTTGAGGAATCAGGATTTTTGTGAGAGAGGCTCAGGCAGACCTGACAATTCGTGTATTCGTGTCATGAAAACGTGTCAGTCACGAATTTGACACGATACCATTACACAATGAGAAATATGATTTATCTCAATTTTTAAGATGTATTTGTGTCGTGTATTCGTGTCGTGTCGTGTCTCTCACAGATTCGTGTATTCGTGTTTCGAATTGTCAGGCCTAGGCTCAGGCGGTGGTGTAATGGATTTCAGCATCGGCTATTGATGCAGTGGTCAGAAAGAATCAAAGGTGGCGGTCTCATCTATCTGCTACGTACTCCCGTATTCATGTTTCTATCTCTTTCATTGGCTTTTTCTCAATTTGTTTTTTATCAGATCTAAAAGTAGAACCGAAGAAAAAATCAACATATTAACCCAAGAATATAAGCCATTGAATTAACGACACATTACCTAAAGAAAAGAAGTCAAAAGCTTAGAAACTTTCTACCGTGAAGCGTTATCGGCAAAGCATCCTTATAATACAAGAATGAATATATCATGTTGCTATTGAAGATTAAATGTACAATCACCTCTTATAATTTTCTTTAGTAACAAAGATAAAGAAGACTAGGAAAACTAGATAACTCCTCAATACATGTCATTATCTCAACAACATAACGAAGACTAGGTAACAAAGTTTAACGATTCAAAGAATCCCTATAATACAAGAATGAATATATCATGTTATTACTGAAGATTAAATGTACAATCACCTCTTATATTTTCTTTAATATCAAACTTCTTCCAAGTATAAATTCAGTTTTCAAATTTCTATATATCCAAGTAATTTTTGTAGGATGCTCTGATGTTTTACTTCCGAGTGTAGTTCGCTTCCACATATCAAAACGATGGGGTGCTTAGTCATCACGTGATGATCGTTGATGCAAGGTTTTCGTTCGCTTCCACATATGAAAAGTATGGGTTGCTTTATCAATTGATGCTAGGTATGTAGCTATCTCAAGTGTTTAATTGTTAATTAATTGATTAGAACAGTACATTATTTATTCTTAATTAATCATAATATATAAATACTCAAAATACTTTGGTCTATACACAATGCTTACTCCAGTTCGTTTTTATGATATTTTATCGATCAACTTGATGTTAAAAAGACAGAAGACTTTAACAAAATGTGAAGAATAATATTATTTACGAAGCCTTGAACATAACTTAAAATCTAGGGACTAAAGTTGTACATTTGGAATATTTCAGGGACCAATACTATAACGAATCAAACATAAAAGAGAAAAGCTGCTTAGACTCCCCCAAAGACAACCATTTTAGAAAGAGAAAGAGAAGGAGAAAAAGAGAGACATGAAGGGAGAGATGGTGTTGGTAATATTGCTGATAGTTGTATTACTGATCGTTATGAAGGTGTTTTTGGTGATATGGTGGAAACCAAAGAAGATTGAAAAGCATTTTTCTGCACAAGGCATAAAGGGACCTCCATATTGCTTACTTATTGGCAATGCCAAGGAGATGATGAGTTTTATGGTGAAAGCTTCCTCACAACCTATGCCTTTCTCTCACAATATTCTCCCCAGAGTCCTCTCTTTCTACCATCATTGGAAGAAAATCTATGGTATATTCCATACCCATATGTCCAATTCTCTTCTTTCTATATCATCTTTTAAGTTATCATCATCTAGCTAAAAGGCGGATATATCAGATACTCTCACCTTAAATGCTTGACGACCCTGAAAATATAAGTTGAACTTTGTGTCTTTTGTTGAGTCTGAAACCATTTTCTTTTTCTTCGTAATTATGTTCATTAAGACCGTGAAATTTGATCTCCGTGATCAAAACATAGGTTCTTGGTGATTACACATGATATAAGAGTGTTGGAGCATGTTGAGGGTATGTTATGGTCAAAGAAGTTGATGGTTCTTTGTTTTCTAGATAAATCTGAGAGATTTATTCCTGTATTGTTCATCTTTTGACGTGGGTTCTTATTATTTTTGGTTATTTTTTATTTATATTGGTTCTTTTGAATTATATATAGCCATATAGCACATGGGTGTGTATATAATCCCCATGTATGAATGCTAATAGGGTTATTCAAACTATTTACATTAAGTCTCTACATGGATCTTATATGAAAACACTTGTTTCACATTTTGCACTATTCGTTATTAATATCATCATCATCATTAATAATATTATTTACAACGATACAAAAATATTTAATTTTGAATTAATTTAATGTTAGCTATGCATTGGTCTTACATCAATTTTGACATTTTATATGCAATATTTTGTCAAAATTTTACGACGACACTATCAAATAATAGGGAGTTTTTTAATGAAATTATACAGGTCCCACATTTCTTATATGGTTTGGACCTATGGTTCGTCTCACTGTCTCTGATCCTGACCTCATTCGAGAAGTCTTTTGTTCGAAATCAGAATTATATGAGAAAAATGAAGCTCACCCTCTTATCAAACAACTAGAGGGTGATGGGCTCCTTAGCCTCAAAGGTGAAAAATGGGCTCTCCATAGAAAGATCATCACTCCTACGTTTCACATGGATAATCTCAAAGTACAATTTTCTATACTTCCAAGATTTTCAGTCATTAGTTTAACTAATAATAAATAAAAAGATATTAAATTAATGAAAAATTATTTTTATTATTCTTGTAGTTATTGGTACCCGTAGCAACGTGTAGCGTGGTGAAAATGCTTGATAAATGGTTAGACATGTCGGATTCTGGGGAAGTGGAAATCGAGGTGTCTGAATGCTACCAAAACCTAACGAAGGAGACAATGACTAGGACTGCGTTTGGCAACATTAACTACGAAGATGGAAAACATATTTTTCAATTACAAACTCGACAAATGGTCTTAACTTCTGAAGCATTTCAAAAAATTTCCATCCCAGGTTATAGGTATGTGTCAGAAATCCTAATTAATCACTTTTTTCAATGAGAAGCGTCTACATATTTTCAAATTGACAATATAATATCGTTTATTCAAGACATGCATGAAAATTTCAAACCATATATAGATGTACGAATTTTTAACATGAAAGGTAAATCTTAATATACTGTCTATACATCTATAATATATCCTTTTTGCATACTTTATAAAAGTACAATGAACCATCATCTGTCTTTTCATAAATTTCGTCGCTATAGTTTAAATGACACATGTATACTAAAACACTATTTAAACAACCATGTGATGATTACTTTCCGTCCATATCAGTGTCGAATCAACATTATGAATATTAACTATAAGTTGATCTACATGTTATTGCGTTAGTCTGTTTTTGTCGCTGAAAACTAATAGAAGTATTTGTTTTGCGTGCTTAGGTTTTTTCCCACAAAAAGAAATAGAGAATGTTGGAAATTACAGAAGGAAATCAAGAAAAGGTTAATGAGGGTCATTGAGAGGAGGAGAGAAAAGTGGGACGACGATGAATTGGAAAATGGGCCGAAGGATTTGCTTGGGGTTATGATCGAAGCGAGTAGGAAAGAATCTTTGAATTTCTTGCCGGCGATAACGGCAAGTGACATCGCGGAGGAGTGCAAGAGCTTCTTCTTCGCTGGAGAACAAACAACATCCAACCTGCTGACGTGGACCACCGTATTGCTAGCAATGCACCCACAGTGGCAGGTGATAGCACGTGACGAGGTGCTAAATGTGTGTGGACCACGTGACATTCCCACCAAAGATTGTGTTTCCAAGCTTAAAATGGTCTCTCTCTCTCTCTCTCTCTCTCTCTCTCTCTCTCTCTCTCTCTCTCTCTCTCTCTCTCTCTCTCTCTCTCTCTCTCTCTCTCTCTCTCTCTCTCTCTCTCTCTCTTACATATTCTAATTCCGTATTTTCCCTCTGTTCATCTTAGTATAAATACAAAGTTTTAACCTTTGATAGCTAAATATTACTCAAAAAGAATAAGATAGTTGTTGAGCATATATCATGTGGGTGCAGAATATGTGTAAAAAATGATATTGGTTTCTTAAGCTAACAGGAGAAAAAATGATATACTTATATAAAATATAGGAAGTTTCCATTAATAGAAAACTTATTTTGAGTGGAATCATATGATCATCTAAATATTATTAATTTAAATCAAATCATTATCTGATTTTTTATTCTAAAGTTGCAATAATTATTTTGAAAATGAAAATCCACATACTGTCTTCATGTTACTAATATTTGTAATGATTAAAACCCAATAAACAAAGTAAAATATTAACCTCCAGTCAAGGTGTTTTATGGCAAATGAAGTCAAACTTAGCTGGGTGTGGGTTTAATAAATATATGGGATGAGTAATAGGTTCAATCCTTGCAGTATTCTAAAAGTGTCACGGAGTTTGCCCTGTAAAGGAGCACGAACTCTGGATACTCATTGAAATATTGCGATTAGGATTTCAGTTATAATCGTTTGCCGTTTCCAAAAATAAAAAAGATAAAAAATAAAAAATAAAAAAGAAACAAGGTGTTTTATGTTCTTTTGAGAATTAAGTTTCAAAAAGAGTTCCTCAAGGTTCAAATAATATTACATGTTGTAACTTTGAGATTGCTTTAAATTCCACAAAAACAAAATCTATTTTAATATACATTTATTATATTTAGTTTGAAGTGACATTTATTCTCATGCAGTTGACCATAATACTCAACGAGTCCATGAGATTATACCCTCCAATAGTGGCATCGATCAGACGAGCAAAAGCTGATGTTGAATTAGGAGGGTACAAGATCCCGCGTGGCACTGAACTTCTCATTCCAATCTTGGCAATTCATCATGATCAAACCATATGGGGTGATGATGTTAATGAATTTAATCCAAGTCGATTCTCAGATGGAATAGCTCGTGCAGCTAAACATCCTGTAGCCTTCATTCCGTTCGGGTTAGGAGTTCGCACATGCATTGGACAAAATCTTGCAATTTTACAAGCAAAATTGACTATTTCAATCATATTACAAAGATTCTCTTTCAAGTTGTCTCCAAAGTATCAACATGCACCAACTGTTCTTATGCTACTTCATCCGCAATATGGTGCACCAATTGTCTTCAAAAACTTAAGGACGGATCGTAGATCCAAAGGAAATTAAGGGTCATAAATTCCCCTAGGAGTACTACCCTATATGTGCGAGTGAACCTAGGCCTCTTAGTAGCACACAAAAACCATCACCATATAGCAAAGGGAAATAACAGGGAAAGCACCATTTCAAATCATAAATACTTAAAGATTAAGGGAGTAGATAGTATACATATTATGTTAAGTTTCATTTCTACCCCACTAGCTAGTTCATTAAAATGTTTATAATATCCCATCAAGTAAAAATGGCATCTAATTGCCCCATGTTTAGATTTTGGGCATGCAACTAGCTAATTAGAAACCTTTTGCTCTTAAGATATGTATTTGATGTAAATCTTGCTCAAATCGAACACCAATTATGTAAATACAAGGTATAATTTTTTGGTTGCTCTTTTTATCGGTTCACCATTTAGTGTTTAAATCAGACACAATAATAAAAAGCTTAATTTGCACAGTGTTTATGTCGAAAATGCATATTGAAGTAGCATTATCTTTTCCTTTTTCTCGTATGGATTTGTAAAAGCTATACTTTAAACAAGTAGGTTGATAATATATTCTACAAGAGATATTATTATAAACTAAAGATTCATACATGTTAGAAATATTTTCTATTTAATTAACGAAAAAAGAAAAGATTAATCTAAATAGATTTTTATATATATCTTAATGAAAACTGTACGTCAAAACGAAGGTGACACTATTTAATTGAGTTGAGCACCCAAAATTCAGGAAAAAACACTGTTGGATTATAATGTTCGATGGTGGACCATGTTGTCCTCACAATAAGAGTACAAGAGAGACAGGATAGGGATGCTTCCAGAAAACTTAAATTTTAAAATCCAAAGAAACAATCAATGTAAAAAGAGGGCAAAGAAAACCCATGTTGGAAGTTTAATAAAAAATTATGTATTTTTATTAAACTTTAGACACATATAAATATAAAATATATATTGTATATTTTATTAACCTTTAATGGGTTATGTTCTTTTTCGTGAAAGCTTCGAAACAATATATGTTGTGTCCAAAACGAAAAATCTGTAAAGAAGATATCGATGCTCAAATATGAGTATTTGGAAATAAAATTAACAAATAAAGTGGGTATGCTCAAATATGATTATTTGGAAATAAAATTAACAAATAAAGTGGGTATGAGATCGTGCCTAACATAGGAAAAATGCAAACTCTTAGTGGGTTTATAAGCATAGTTGTGTAATGGGTTTACAAGCTTCTATGTATGGTTTTACTCTAACACCTATACACGTGCACATGCAGAGGGTGTGAAATATGATTATTTGTTTCTTACATCATTTATATATTGTTATATATAGGATTTTACAACAACATTGATATTTGGATATTACTTGGATTGTGATTAAATTACATTCTGAACTCTGTAATCTATTCCTTGTTGTCTGGGGTTACACGAATTCTGAAGTGAGATAATCCAAGAAATCTGATTTGGATTATACAAGCCTAATCCAAAATCATAAAACGTGAAATACCTTGTGATGATTTGTGTTCTTGTGACACAGAGAGATGTTTATGATCAACTTCAAGTACTGAAAAAACATCAATACTTTTCTAGAACTTTCATCCTTCTTTTTATACCAAGAAGAAAGTGGTTAATTGGTGGTTATATACCAAAATTGGAGAAAAAAGGTAGTTAAGGGTAGTTATCAAACAAAATCGCAACCTACATCATCTTGATGTCATCAGCAGGTTTTTGGCGGGAAATACATGTTTGGACCTCGCCAGGGGTGCTACCCCTTGGAACCATGTACCAAGGGGCATTGCCACCTAACCCTCGTGCCCGCATTTGACACTCCGAGTCCAAATTTAACACTCCGAGTGTGCAGTCCACACCTTTAATCTAAGGTAATAAACAGAAATCGGCCTTTCTCGGATAGTATATATGTTATATATCATTTTATGTATCTTTTATAGTAGTTTTTATTAGTACTGTGTATCATATTTTCTGCTTTTTAATATGCAATAGTTTAAATAATGTTCAGCTCATGTTCATCACTAGATCTTCTTTACTTCTCATGTTGTTATGTCGTTTTCAGATATTTCAAACGGAGCAGTATTTTAGACGCATCTTGGAAGCATTTTTGGAGCTTAATAGAGCTAGAGTACCTGAGGAAGCTGGAACTTGGGTTAGATTTGCTGAAACTGAAGAATTCGAGTCCGAAACACGCGTTTTATGATTTACACAATCATGTTTTTCTCTATGTGGTCGTCTTTTTGATCATGCTTCATCTTCGCAACTTTTTGGGCCAAAAATCGAATATCAGGACTTCGACGCCTTTACAAGATCGTGTTTCTTTGTAAAGCACGATCTGTTTTTTCATATACGGGTCCCATATAGTAATGTGCTTCATTAAACGAGCAATTCGCATGATTTTCTGAAGGGTGTGGCACGCTTCTTAATAGATGCAGCGCGCCTCTTAAAAGGTGTGGCGCGCTTGGCTCATGTTTCTCTGGATTCAGCATATTTTGTTGTTATCTTCGTATATATAGTTCCCATTTGTTCCAGTTAGAACCGTAGACGTTCCCAGACGACTAGAGACGACTTTTAGAGGCGATTTCTACAATTTTTGACCAATTCTTGAAGATCCAAAGGTTGTGGATCATCTCCTTAAATTAGTTTAGTAAGATTAGTCATTTAATTTCTCTTTTCATTGTTCTAGATCAGATTATAGTCATGTCTGGCTAAAACCCTAGTTTTCAGTTTTGCAAGATGAGTAATTTTTATTTAGTTAATCATTAGACTTGATTTTTGATCTGTGATTCAATCTAGTTGTTTCGGTTTTGCGCTTAATGAATGTTTGATTTTAGTTCTTTTTAGCCTGATCACCTCATTTAGGATTAAATCATTCTAGTTAATAAGTTGTTGAAATCCATAATTGTTTTTATAAACGGGTAATAAGTAACAAGTAACAGATCGGTTCCGTGTTGGGATTTGACTCTGTTGTAAACTAAATTTCATATTTTTGCGCTTCCAAGCTTGTGAGAAGTATTATATATTGGTGGGAAATTTAAACATATCATAATGTTGCTTTTCTGACTTGATAAAGAGCTTGTTTAATTAGGTAAGTAAAAACGTTATGATTAGCTGAAGAGCTTGTTTTGGTTAATTAACTAGGTAAAGGAGAACTCACTAGAGCTTGTTAGTCGTTTTCATAGAAGCTTAGATAGAACGTATCTTAAATAAGCAAGTTTGTGTTGATTGCATGATTAGGAAAGTCACATCAGAGCATAATTCACTTTTAATTATTGGATTTTCTTTAGTTTCATTCACTTTTATTTTTAGTTATTACTTCACAACCCCCTCCCCCTCCCATCTTATTATTTTATGCATTTGACTAGTATGTGCCTTACGCAAAGAGGCATTGATTTTTAGGTTGTGTCTCTATGCTTTCGACCTTGCTTACCTGTATTATTCTTTTAGAGAAACCAATCAGTGCTAATTTATTTCTTTAAAACATCTGCGACAACATTTTAATAATACCCAAGTCAACACTCTTAGTGTGCACCCCGCACCTCTAGTCTCGGATTGGTAAACTAAACTTAGCCTAACTCGATAGTAATTATAATCTACACTAAAATATGTTGATAACACTAAAGTTACGAAAATTCATCCCCTATTTTAGTGTAATCCTTAATTAACTAAAATAGCAATCACAAAACCAAACTCATGCATAAACAAAAATATCTTGAAGATCGAATTTTCACATTAGTATAACATACATTTCAAATACTCGAGAATCTGGATTTCATATGAATTGAACCCGTTAACTCATTTGAGTAACTGAAGATATTATACACATAAGTTTAACACAAATTTTAATGTTTAAACTTTACACTAATACAACAATGTGTCCTATCCATTCAGGAGTGCATAAAAGTCTAGCCTAAGGTTTCTGAAGCGGAAAGACTTCACACTCATGTAGGAAGTTCTTCTAAATTATGCACATGTAATGCACTTTTACAAATGAACTATTAAGAACTTAATTCAACCTACATTAATTATATAGGTTATAAGCACATAGCATGGGATGTAGTGAAACAAATGTGCTCCAATCTCTATAAGTAAACTTTCCACATTAATTTCAACAACATTATACTAGTAGGGAATTTGTATTTCACCCATTGAGATATCAAGTGTGCCATAAACACATGCCTATCACAGAGTTTCTTACCAAGTCTCTACCTAAGCCTTTCGTCAAGTGATCAACCAATTTCTATTAAGATAGAACATAATCAACAGAAATGATTCCATGAGTTATAAGCTGAAATACCATAATATGTCTTACACCTAAATGTCGCGACTTTCTATTATACACTTGACTATATTCCTTTCCCAAAGTGTCAAAACTATCACAGTGAATAAAAATGGGTGAAATTAGCTTTGGCCGCAAAGGAATCCCATAGATCAAATTCCTTAACCATTCTGCTTCCTTTCCCACAGCTGCAAGGGCTATAAATTATGATTCCATAGTTGAATTTGTTATACATGTTTGCTTCTTATATGCCCGGGAGATTTTACCACCTCCAAGAAGAAATACCCAACCACTTTTAGAAGAGTGGTCCTCAATGTTTGTAGTCAAATTAGCATCATTATACCCATATATCATAAAAGGAAAACCTACGTAATTCAAACCATAATCCATGGTTCTCTTCGAATACTTCAATATCCTCTTTACTTCTTGACAGTGATAACTGCTTGGATTGCTAGTAAAGCTGCTTAGCTTTCCTACAGCAAAAGAAATATCATGCCTTTTGCTGGTCATGACATACATCAACAACTTGTGACCTTGAATATTCAAGATTTGAAACCGCTTGACCAATATTAGGAATAAGCTTCATATTTGAATCAAAATGGGTACTTACTGGATAATAATAAAAACAGTTGAACTTTTTAAGTACTTTCTTAATGTAATAGGATTGAGAAATAGAATTTCGTTGATGTTCAAGCTTGATTCTTGTTCTAAGAATCACTTCAGCATACCCCATATCCTTCATGGAGAATGGATAATAAGAAATATTTGGTCATATTGTAACACCCGGTTCCTGGTACGTATTTTAAATTCAAAAATTTAATGTTTTACACTGGGACTCGGAGAGTTGGAGGCCCAACTCGTCGAGTAGACTAGACGTTGGACGTGGGATTTAAGTAACCTACTCGACGAGTCGGGAGCCTGACTCGGTGAGTAGGACTGTCTGGATGAAACC